GGCGGAGGCAGCGCCCCTGGGCCCGGCGAGGAGGGCGGGGCGGGGCGAGCTGCCGGGAGGAGGAGCCGTCTGAGCAGGGCCCCGAGGGCTGGAGGAGAGCGGTTGTCGGCCCGACGACGGGCACGACGCAGGCGTTCCAGAAGGGCTAGAAGCGGGCCTTGTGAGAGACGCTGGGAGGTCCTCTTCAGAAGTTTCGGTTTCATGCGGGAGGCTGTGGAGAGTGGTCAAGAGATCCAGGTGGGACAGGGTCAGATGGTGTCACACGAAGCCTCCCCGGCCGACTCCCCTCAGCTGGCCGTGAGGCCGGGTGCAAGAAGAATGGTCTGGAAGCTCAGAGCATCTCCACCCACCTCCTGGGCCCTGGATGCCATCTATTCCGCTGCTTCAGGAACCTGCTCCAGCGATTGTTAGGTCTTTGCAGTATCTGCCATCTTTCCTTCTTCACGGGCTCCTCCCCGCTAGCGCATGAAACGTGTTTGCATGTCTTAGAAACAGGCGTTCGGCTCTGGCTGTCCCTCCTCTCCTGTCACACGTGAGGACGGCAGGCTCCGGCTGCTCCCACTCTCTTTTCTGAAGCAGTCACCAGGCACCAAGCTCCGCTCCCGGCGTGACGTCTCCCCACCTTCGTCCCACCAGGCTCCGCAGCTGCTGACGTCTCTGGACTCTCTGTTCCCTACCCTGCTGCAGCAGCCACCATTTTCCTGTCACCCCCCTGAACTTCTCTGGAGTCCGTCTCTTCCCCACAGGCCCACTGCCCCCTACTACCTCCTGCCTAGATGAACCTAGATCAACTGGCTTCCCAGAGGCTTCCCTGCCTCATCTCTGCCTGAGGGGCCTTCCTTAGGGACAAATCACTCCACACCGACTTCCTGCTTAAGACCGTCCCTCAGTTCCCGAAGCCCTCCCATGGGATCCCGGCTTTTCCGCACGGCCTCCACCGTTGTCACGATGTGGCCCCTTCCTGCCCACCTCTGTCTGGCTCTTTGCACACATCAGCAGCCTTAAGCCATCCAGAACTCCTTGGGGTTCCAAGAATGCGCCGGGGCTCCCGCACCCACGAGTTTGCACCTATAGCTCCGTGGCCCTCACGTGAAGGTGGAGCTCAAGCAGCTCCTCAGGTAGAAGCTGGGTTGAGAGCCCCCGGGCCCCTCGGGCGGAGCTGCCCTCAGCCCCTGCTATGCCTGGTATCCCTGGTGCGTCCTCCTTCAGCCTCGGCACTCATCTGCCTCCCCCACCAGATGGGGGAAGACCCCCCCCCCGCCCAAAGCAGTAAGGGTGGCTTCCTCTTTTGTTTCTCCAGCTGGATGCACGCTTGAAAGGCAGCAGGTCTTCCCTGGCCACGCCCCTTGCCCTCTGGATCCTGACCCCAGAGGGCTACTACCCCCCTCCCCGCCCCCAGGCTGTCCATCCACAGACTTATTTAGGGCTCTTTCCAGAAAACAGGTCCGCCCAAGATGGGCCTCCGTTGCAGCCTCTTCCTAGAAGCTGCAGCCAACGCCGGCCACTCCCAAAGAGGAGGCCAGCCACACCCTGAGCCCCAGTGGCTTCCCACGGGGACAGCCCTTACCGAGAGTACCAAGCCGAGTATGGGAAATTATTGGGCACGCACACACTGAGGGAACAGGGACTTGCTTGGTCTTACTTGCTCACTGCTGGACTGCAGCTCCTGGGACAGCCCTGGCACCCGAGGGATGCTCAGTACGCACACAGGGCGAATTTCAACCCTTCGTTTTAATGTTCCAGGCCAGGACTGTCTAGTGCTCCTCCGAGTAGGTGTGTCCACATGTGCCTGTGATTCTGGACTCTGAGCACCTGTCGTCTGCTTCAGGCCATCGACAGCCTGATGGAGGACGGCTGTGGGGATGTCGCCAGCTCCTGAGCGCCCACAGCCTCACGGGAAGCCAGGGAACACGGGCAGCCGGAGCCAGGTCAGCAGAGGCCATGGGAGGGTCTCAGGCAGGAGGCGCCAGAGTCGTCGGAGCTGGGGGTGAGGGGGTGGGGGGTTTCCAAAAGCACCTTGGCACATCCAGGACGAGGGGATGGCCCTGCCCTGGCCCTCGGGGAGCCCCGAGAGGGGCCGGTGCGGGGCGCAGGCTGCCCTTTCCTCCCGTGGCCGCCCCCGAAAGCGGCTGGCTTCTGCGTGTTCGGGGACAGCCAGAGTGGATCAGGAGATGCACCACCGTGCTGTCCTAGGAGCTGTCTGATAATGAAAGCCCAGACCTGGAGTCACTTTCACAGAGAGGTTTATCGAGAATGCTAACAGCACAGGATACAGCACTTCCCAACAGAACGCGCCATTTAGAAACGCATGCTGAGTGTTCTTGGCTTTCACACGCATTAAAAAACTTACAAAAATAAAATAAAACTGCGTGCTGCCCATCTTTGCAGATAGTAGAAGAACCTTATGAAAAAATCACTTGATTTTACAACAAAAGACACAAACGGACATTTTTATGTAAATTTATAAGGCAAACTCTTTATATAATAAATAGGTTACAGGGATTCAGTGGGGGGGTGTTTTTGAAACGTATACAGGTACATTCAGACAGGTTTACTGAAATGGTACAAATTTCCTTAATAAATTGCCTTTTGTTTTTAAATATATCAGTGCTTTCAGTCATTTGGCTATACACAAAGAACCTTTTTTTGAACACTACAAAAAAGCAATCAATATGTTTTGTTTTTAAAACGACCTACTTATTTTTCTAAAGTAATTGTCCCAAAACACAAAAACTGAAGGTGAATGCAATAGAGGGCTTCTGGAGACATCTCCAGCCAAGTCTGTCCTGGGCGGCTCCCCACGCCCCACGCACACCTCTCCCGCCCTTGGTCAGGCTTCTGGGCTTCTGGGCTTCGGGGCTGGAGCCAGCTCCCTCTGCACAGGGCGACCTGTGTCCCTGTGACTCAGGAGGGGGCAGCAACCGTGCCTGGTTCTTCCCGCTCCTAAGCCCCATGCACAAATGGTCACTAGGGTCAGCACTGTCCTTGCCTTTCAGAGGAGGGCCCCCCCCCCCCGGGCGCTAAGGGAGCACACGTCCGTCCCTGTTCCATCAGCCCTAAACAATGGGAGGTAAACGGCTTTTTTGAGGAGGATCGGGTTTTGCCATGAAACAAGAAGGGAGTTTCTCATGTCCAAATTTTGCTGGGGATCGGATGACAGTAAAGGGAGTGCGCCCCCCTCCACCATCATCTTCTCGTCCGGGAAAGCAGGGGAATCGAGAGGTCACGTTAGTGTCGTGCACTGCGGGATGGGGTGGGATGTGATGATGGTGCCCTGAACAGTAATGCCCACCCTGAACAGTAATGCCCTGTCAACATACACCTGACCTGTGGCCACGGTGGAGGTCTCCAGGAAGATGGCCATCCTCTAGCTGAGCCCCGCCCCCCAGGCCCACCCCAGCCTTCTCCCACTGAGGCGAAGCTGGCTCTGCTCACACCCCTCCTGGCTCCCCTTGCAAGAACATCAACCTTGTCTGTCCTTAAAAAATAATAATGATGCTAATAATCTGGTGTGTGGGGGGGGGTGCGCAAAAGAATTCACTGAGTGGAACAAAACCTGGTTTTGCTCTGACTTTGCAAATGGCAGCACGTCAGCTATTCGGTCCGTTGGCTTTAGGCTTAACTTCTTTGGGTGGCTTCTGGCTGATCTGGGCAGGGGTTCTGTCTTTGGATCTCCCCTCCTGGGGAAAAAGGACAGACCCTCTCCTCTCAGTTACCATCCCCTCCCTCCGAATTCTTTTGTTTGTAAAGAAAAGGTGTCTAGAAGCATTTGTCTCTGGAACAATTACTTTAAACATGGTTACAATACAGACTTCAGTTCAAACACAGAAGAGATTTACTTCGCAAAGTTCCTTTCACCCACCAAAAATTACACAAATATAAGCCTCAACACCACAGTTAAGAGGACCAGTAGAGAGAACCTCATGTTTGGAACACAAAAGGAGAAATAAAAACCAAACCAAACCCAAACAGAAAAACCCCAGAGAGACGAGGGGAGAGTGGAGGAGGAGGGGGAGGAGCGCAAACACAGCACACGTTACAGTGTCCGGGTACACGGAGCCCAGCGCGAGGAGAGGGCTCGGCACACACTGAGTAACAGTCCTGGTGATATTTGGTCATATATTCATCAACTACTGACTCTGGAGCGGCTGTTATTGATTGAAGCAGTGACAACTCAAACGGAAAAGGAGGCCTTGGTAGCAAGGGAAGGAGCAGGCTTCGAGTTCTGCAAGCCTTTTGCACTCCACCGTCCAGCTCCCCAGAAACACTGAACTGGGTGGGCCCTGCTGCGTTGGGCGGGCAGGGCGAGAGAGGTCACCGGGTGAGGCTAACTCGGCGCTGATTTCAGATCTCGGGCAGAAAGCATATGCGCGCAGACAACGCGGACACCCACCTGCGAGGCCGGACAGCAGCGGGGGCGGCCTCCTCTGCCCCCGGCCCCGGGCTGGGTGGGAGAGCAGGCAGGGACCCACCGCTAATACTGAACGAAGGCGGGGGCGAGCCCCCAGGCCGGGCCCGGAACTGCCCCCACCCAGGTCCTCCGAGGGGCCCGAGGGGAGCCTGGCCACCCAAATGGCCTACGAGTGTTTCTCTTTTGGATTCAGGCCTCAGAAGTTAAGTAATGATGCGGGGAGGGAAGCTTTTGGCCCTGGTGGTTATAATGCTCTCTGCTTTGGAAGAACGAGTTTCTGGATTTATTTTTTTTTGGTGTTTTTTAATTACTTAAAAAAAATGATCAAAAAGAACTGTTACGGCTAAACTCTCTAGCAGATATTGCTCATTAAGAATTACAAAAGCAAATGCAATACTCATAGGTTGGAGGAGAAGAGGAAGGGACATTTCTGGAGCCTTCGCTACCCCCTGGAGGGGCCCCTGAACCTCACGAGTGGTTCCGGGGCCCCTGGTGTTCTACCTGGGACGGCTCACACTTTCAGAGACAAGACACGGCCTTCTGCCTCCCCTCCAGCCCCCAGACTCGGCAGAGCGGGGGCCCTGCCGGTGGGGAGGCCTGCTGAGCCGGCTCTCCACATACCATCACTCGGACCGGGTCGCTGGAAGGCGTGGGGGGACCAGGGCACCCCCATGGACTCCAGCTGCCCCACCCAGAGATCGAAGGGGACCAGGCAGTGCCATTCCGGGCTTTGCCAGAGCCAGGGAGCACTCTTGCACCCACCCACTGAAATGAGCCGTCCCGCAGTGGCACCCTGGAGCCTCTCTCACAAGCTCGGGATAAACAGTGCAAAACCCGGTGCTGCCCGGAGCCTCCTTCACTCGGCACTGGGAAGCCCTTGAAAGAAGCGAGGAAAGACCACAGATCTGCTTGGACCGAAGTGACCAGCAGACGGATTTGTCGGTTTTTTTTTGTTTTTTGTTTTTGGTTTTTTTTTTGTTTGTTTTTGTTTTTGTTTTTTGTTTTTTTTGTTTTTGTTTTTAAAATTTTCCCTTGTCCTATGCTATGGTTATCAGAAATATTGTAATTAAGCAACAGGTATAATTTTAACAGGTCTTTTTTTGTGTGTGGAGCCACAAGCAAAATGAGTTTATAACTGTGCAATATACAGATATATATATATAAAAATTCAACTGCTTTGTGTGTCTAGTCGGTGCATTAAATAAAAGGGACAGAAGAACTTAAAGCAAAACTAAAAGGCAAAACAAAAGCCCAGGATAGAAGAGACCAAGCAGGTCTATGCGTATAGTCTGTAAGATACTGGATATAATCAGGGTCACCAGGAAGAACAGCTTTGTCACTTGACACACAAACACTGTGGGGAGAGGAACTACCAGTGGGCAGGGGCCAAAGCTTGTGGCCTTTTGATTTCATTTTCTCTCACTGCTGAGCAGGACCTGAGGAGAGGGAAGATAGAGGGGGACCCAGCACAGCAAAGGTAACTTGCAAGTTTCCCAAACGTTCTGAAACTCAAAGCTGGATTTCCCTCCTTGAGGGTCCTCGCCCCCGCCCTCCCTCTGCCCCGGGGGCGCTTGCGGGTGAGGGGCGAGGGAGCACACCCCTTCACCCAGGCCCCAAGAAGAGCAGAGCCGCGGGCTGTCCTTGGGGGCAGGCCGCACCGCAGGCAGAGGCTGGGGAAGAGACATCACCCTAGTTAGAACTTCTTTCTCCTGACAAATCAGCACTTGGGGTAGGCTCTGTGGAAATCAGAAAGGAGCAAGGAACAGGTGGTGCCGGGTAGCGAGAAGGTCACGGGCCTTCGGATTCACTGGTGAGCACTCTCCTTCCTTCCCACACCCAGAGCTGGGCTCCTGCAGCTTTGCAACAGGCAGGCCTTCTCCCAGGACCGGGTGGCAGCTGAGCCCTCAGGGACTGCTACCCATGGAGAGATGGGCTCTCCAGTGACACGAGGGCCCTAAGGCTCAGATCCAGCAGTTTCAGGCCAGAATCCCCTTCACCCGCAGCACTTGCCACACATTAGGCCAGGCTCCAAGTACTGTTAGATCAGCGTTTTTGCAAAAGCTTGCTCTTATTCATTCAGACATCGAGATGTAGTTTCCTGCTAAATTTTTTTTAGGTCTTCCTTCTGAATTGTCAACAAGGGGTTTCAGTGTTCACTTTTTTCCCCTTTAATGTGGAACTTTAGACCCTGGGGGAGGCAGTATCCTAGAGAACTGTTAACAATTACACTATGTTTTCTGAAGATTGATAAGAGTTTCTAAAAGAGAAAGAAGCAAAAACCGAGACTCAACAAACCCCTCGAGTGGACGGGTTCACAGATGAAGAGAAGTGAGATGGGGCCCTTGCAGAGAGCAGCTAAGAGCCAGAACACGACGTGGCGGGGCCATCAGGCAAGAGAGCAGGGGCTCTACTACTAGGCCTGGTAACGTGGCCGTGCTCCCCCCCACCCCGGGGCCACTGGCCGGGACTCAGGGGACTGGCTAGGCCAATGCACACAGGGCTCTAGAGAGAGCTTACTTCCCGAGGTCTGGATGGCCTGGGCCACCTGTGTGGGAAACTTGCATCAGGAAACAATTTGCGGCCACGACCCTGCTAGGGATGGCTGGACAAAGCTAGAGCTGGTATCTGTGACCTCCCCTGGCCCCGTCACCCCAGAGCCTGGCAGGAACGCTCCAGAAAGGGGGCACAGAGCTCAGCTGCCAGGCTCCACTTGGGTTCCAGGAGATCCAGGTGGCCACACCTGGTGGATTCACTTCACACCCTCTGTTCCCTCCTGGGCTTGAGCTGCTTATTAAAAGTTACTTAAAATCCAGAGGTCCCGTCAGCTAAGGAAACTCCTTTCCCACTAAACGTGGTGGTTTGTTTCTGGCTAGTACCCTCCTTCACGATGGCCATCACAACGATGACAAGCTAGGCAGAGGGGCAAGCGACCACTTGGGGCTGTTCCAGGTCCCACCGCCACCATTTGTGGCCTCTAGCCTGGAATGCCACTGCTAAACAAGACTGGTGCCGGCACCGGCATGGGGTCTCAGGAGTAGAAGTCAGGTGCTGGCTGTGGCCGTTCCGGCGTCCCCGGGCCACCACCACGGCTTCCACTTTCCGGGGAGCTGAGGGGATGGGGTCCTTGGCTAGTTTGGCACTGACGGACTAGGGGCCGTGGCATTTCTGAGTGTCTCCTGTGCCTTTTGATACGGGAGTACAGCAGCAGCGGAAGGGCGCTGAACTGGATGGAGCCTGGCTGTGGCCCAGTGTCCCCAGCTCACTGCAGTGTCAAGGCCAGCAACTACACTGGTTAGGACAAGCCCACCAACGGGCAGGGCTGGGCTGGGCCAGGCACGGTGGGAGGAGCTTGAGGACACACAGAATTCCATCAGGAGAGGAGGTAGTCACTAATAACCAGAATGAGGGCCGGGGAGACCGAATGTGACTGTGACCTAGCCCACGGGTGTCTGAAAGCTGTCGGTCAATTCCTGCCTTCTTTACACAGTCCCTAAGAGATGGCCCCCGATCTTCATGGTCTTCAAGTACACACAAAATCGAGGTCACACCCCCAAATTGGGCCAGACACAGCTGGTGAGAATTCCGTGGCTTAGGCCTTCCCTCCAACCTCCTGTCAACCTGACTCCAGGACAGAGGTGGTATGGGAGCTTCGGGGCCCCTGCCCAAAGGTGACTCGCTAGTAATGCCTTTATTTGGGGAAGAGGGAATGTGGAAGAAAGGGGGGCGGGGAGAGAAAGCCCTAAGGTGCCTCAGGCGCCACCTGCAGCCTTGAAACTCTAGGGGAAGAAGCTGGGGAGTGAGGAAGGCTGCAGGTCGGGCCCGGCCCCAAGAAAATGACACTCGAAACTTTGTGTTCTCGACCACCAATGCCAGTCAGCCCCAGAATGAACTGTTACGGGTGAAAGGGGGGCAATGGCAGGCCCAACTCTCTTTTGCCCAGGACCAGATGGTAG